ATGTGTCATGTAAATAAAACTCTACAGCGCGCACAGACCGATGAATAAGTAGTTAGACTAGATCCGTAATGCAGCTTTTACCTTAGGGAATAATTGTTCTAATGTCATAGCACTATTTGGTACAGACTTTGCAGGTGGTTTTGATTTACTTGATGCCATGGGTGATAGACGTCGTCCACTTTGACTACTCGAAATATCTGACAAACCACTTGGCTATAAGAAATACAGAACATTGTATGAGCAAATGGACGATGGAATGTATAGAGCGGATTTCGTATGACTGTGCAAGGGCAAGCACACGAACACGACACGGTCACGGAACCTCGACTGGTAGTGATCCACATAAATAGGTCTATAAGGAATCAAGAATACGTCACCGTCACGGCACGGCACTAAAGTGCAGTATTTTTAGCACAGTCATACGAAATCCGCTCTAAATGAAGTTGAAAATCAACAAATGAATGACCAATGAATAACTTTATATGATATTTTCCAAACGGGTATAAAAAGCTGAAGGGACGACAAACCGCGCACGCAAGTTCTGTCCACTAAGAGTATACAAGAGATTAAATAAAGTTATTCACAAGAGTGTAGTGCATATGATATCAATATTATATCGACCGACCGACCGACCGGACGGACAGAAGGACGATTTAATGAATGAAGGGTTGGCAGACTGATTCCATAAGTCGGTCCCAGTTCGCTCTCTGTCAGAGTTTTAATCGCTCACGGGTCCGTGGCTAGTTTCGCGACAAACTGAAAAACCGAGGGGAGAAAACTACGACTTATGGAATCAGTCTAGAATGGTTGGTAACATACTGTGAAGAGTCTGGGTCGAGTGTGTCGCACTCTGTTCCAGTGTTTTGAGCGAGCATTCGCCGCGGCCAGTTTATCAATATCACTCGTTGTCCATTTTTTATTGTCATGGTTTTCAGAGGACTCTAAAGCTGTGCGGTATGTCTTCTCGTGATGTTGGACATCTTCCCAACTTAGTTTYCCTGGAGACATACAGCATGCATACAGGCATTTATAATCACCATCAACCAGCATCGTTTATTGTTAATTATCATAATGATCTTTGACTTTTATAATAATATTTTGTGTTATCAATTATTATAATTATCAAGACTTGCAATACATGTAATTACCAAAGTTACCGTCATTTATCATTAATAACAGTATTTATARTAATAAATAAAAGTCTTGATTTCAAAATTCAAAACCTGAAGTWGGTCCTGAATTCAAAATTCAAAACCTGTCCCAGATCTTTCCCATAACACCTGCATTAAACAATGAAAAAAGGTTACATATTATAGTTTATAACCAAATACATCTTACAGATCTACCTTTTTCTAGTACTCTTGCAAGATTTCCAGGTGAAAGAATAAAATCCCAGAAGGCTTTGATTTCAGAGACTTTCGACAAATAACCTTGCTTTCTTAGCTGGTGTTCAACCTTGATTATCTGATTACAAGAATATTAATTAATTATCAAACATTACAAATGGAAAGATTTCAACATTTTCTTACAGACATTTCTCCCAGATGGCCTTTCAATTTCTTTTCAACAAAATTACTCATTAGATACTAATTAAGTAAATGCGGCACCACTTAGAATGTGTGCTAACTTAGTAAGAATCTTGCCAAAGTCAATGAAATCTGTCAGGTGAATCTTAACTTGATTAGCCTGGATATTCAGACAGGCCTGGTCTTGAAACTGTAAGGAGGACCCCCCTCCCCATGAAACCCCTGTAGACATTTATATGTTAGTAAAAAAACTTAGCTGTTTTACATCACAAGCAGCTGGGCCTATACCCCTACTCTGACACTAAAGATTAGTTACAATTATAGTCGTGGGAAGCCTTTACCTTGTGATAGACTGTTTCCTGTATTCCTTCTTTATAGCTCTGATCATTTAACACTTTAGACTTAGGAAGTCTGATCATGACTTTATGTTTATCTTGTTCCTGCAAATATGAAAGTTATTTATTTATTTACACTTGTTATAGGTACACTATTATTTCTAGTCTTTTCTCATATCCGTTATGAGGATCGTACTTTCTGGGAATGTAGAGCCTCATAACGGCATTTAATTTTATTGTGCATATAGAAATTTTCACCAAGAATTCTTCCTAATGATAATGATGATCATTAATTCACACATCCCTGATTCTACCCTTTGCAGTCAAGTGTGGGATTCCTGTGCTAAATCAGCAACACCAGTTCTGTTGATCAATATTATCAAGCTGACACAGGAAGACCAAAAAGTCTGTTTCCATGATTACCCGTTCATTACATACATTCAGAAGAAGCATGATTTAAATATAAAGCTATGCGATTCATGTCTACTGATTCTTAACTCCACCCTAGGAATGTCTTTTGCACTAAAACTTCATACTACATTGTACATGTATAACAAACCTCTTTTTCTCTAAGTCTTCTTTCTCTTGCCATGGCCTGAGCRTCTCTAGTTTTGAATTCTTTGTGTTGGCTTGCTACTTTCTCATTGAGAGCTCTTTTGTATATTCTCTTGTAGTAGTCTCTTAGCAACTCAAGATCCTCTAACACACGATCACGTAGCTGTGAAAGAAAGGATATAATTATATTCAATTCACTTAGGGCCGCCCTGAGAGACAATCTTTTTGTAACTGGAGATAACATGAAAAATTTGGACAAAACATACATTATAATTATTATTTTTT